GAAGGTGGGATTTCCAAGGTTCATCACTCTATCCATTAAATTACATTTTCTTACATGCAAAATTTTTCTTGTTTCTGGACCTCATTAGACTTCTGGAAAAAAATTCCAAACCAGAGATCACTGTAAACTACAGAAAAGTAGAACAAATTTTGGGCAATTTTTGGCAGTAAATCAAACTTCAAAACTGCACCAAATTTTTAGTAAATTTTACCATATTGCTAATGTTTTCTGCCAAGACAGCTGGTCTGTAAGGAGATTTGACACTTTTAATCTTTCTTCATAAGGTTTCAGTAAGAGCAATTTTTGCTGTTGGCACCTCCTGAAAATATATAGCAAATTTATAAAAAGAGTTATTTTCATTTGTCAGAGCAGCAGCTAGTGTCTGTTTATTTCTTTGAACATAGGTACGTTGGAAGCAAGGTGAGTAGGACAAGTGCATTTTTCTTTGGCTTTTGTTTTCTCTGACCAGATGTGGTCTTTGAAGGGTAGGACTGGTCACCAAGAAAGCTCTGCAGATACAGACTGACAATTCCATTGTTTCAAAGGAGGCTACAGTGAGGAGGAGATAAGATAACAGTCTGTGGAAAGTCAACATGACCTTGCCTGTGGCAGACTGCCAGTGCGCTGAGCACATTTCTGGCTGTTCTGTTATAGAACAACACGCATGCATAGAAGAGTGTCTTCTGAATCAATCAGTTCTTAGCACTTCATATCTGTGGACCTAGGAGCAGACAATTTTTAGTCAAACTTTGAGAGCTTCCTACGGGGCAGAAGATGTTCTAAGCAGAAACAACATTCATACCAGCAGTTGGTAGGTTTCTTTGATTTGTTTCTGTATTTACATCCATTTCTCAGATTTTCTCTGCAAAAGCATTCAGAAACAAAATCTGACCTAGAAACTCCTCAGTGAAGGCATAGAATCTAAGCAGATTAGGTGGGTGAGAAAGAGGTGCATCAGAAATTCTCAAAGCTATTAAAGTGCACAGAAAAAGGAAGAAGAGGTCAAGGAAGGACTGTGAGGTTTGGCAAAGCATATGTGACTGGAAAACAGACCTTTTTCCACTTTACTGTTGTTTGCATAATTTTTAAAGGTAGAGTGTGTTTTTCAACAGCAAATATTGAGGAAAGACGAAATATTCAGCTTCCCATTAGGGACACAAAAGTCATGGGAAGAAGTAGCACTTCTGAAAATCCAGCCACTGTTCTGCAGCCTCGGAGCAAGAAGCTGCTGAAACACTTACAAAGCATTAATCATCTGGGTAACCCCACTGACTTTCGTGGGAACTGTTATTTGCCTGGTTATGTACCTATTATCACATACTAAGATAGGGTAAAGATTTTTGCTGTGTAATATGGAAAGATAACAGGTCCATTTTCTGATTTATTCTACGCATCTGCTATTGTGAAAGCAACAAGTCTGTTCTTCTGAATTCTTTATGTTGTATCATTATGGTTACACATGCAATATTCATACATGCAATGAGAAGAAAGAGTTTATGCTTTATCTTTTCATGGGCAGAAATGCTAATACTGTATACAGCACACAGATCTAAGATAGAACAGTACAGAGAACAGCCTGTTCTGCATCTAGTCAAATATAATTTATGCAATTTCACTGCACAATAAATGTGTATTTTCACATATATATTTGAGTTTTCCCCACAGAAACTCAGTCATTGTGGGCAAAGGGATAACAATGGGAATTCTAGCTACAGAGCATTATGGCACTTGTCCTGCAACTTCATTATGTCTGTATAAGGAATTGGCGCACTCAAGATGTGAAATCATGTAGTACAAGTCACAGTCTAAAAATACATTGGAACTGAGCCCACCAGGGAGTGTGCATTCATTTCCATTGCAACAATACTCTGAAGAAAATGTCTTGTGGTTAAGCCTAACAACATGCAAAGAAAAGAAAATGGGAATACAAATGTTTCATATCTCATTAAAACAATTAGTATTGCCTCACTAAATTTGGTCCAAAGCCACTGCAACTGAACCCCATAGGATCATTTGTAAATAGCAGTTAGTTTTTGCGAAAGCAGTTGATTTTTTTCTTAAATAGACAATAAATTTTACCATAATAATAACTTCTATCTTGGGAGCAGACAGTAAGCTGGGATTGCTTTTAGGGTTTTTTTTGCCTGTTTCTAATGAGATCTTATTTCATGATTCATATTGGAAATCTCTGTTTCTCTAAGATGTAAGAGCAGATACCAGTGCCTAGGTAAACTGACAAATCCTCAATAGATTCCTATGGATGTACTTAATATCAAGCAGGAAGAGTCCTACTGAAATCAATTGTATATCACTTGCAAAGGAATGAAAACATGTGGCAGAGGCTCAGAGAATAAACACTAGAACTGCACAGGGGATGGAAATTCCATTCTGCATATAATTGTGAATTTTCAATAGTTGTCTTATTTTCAATCATAAATAAAACAAAGCATCACAATTTTCAAGGAAACAATATTCTAGGAGAGAAGCTCATTTGGATTGATATAAATGTCTTCATCCTTACTTAGACTTTCTTTCTTTAATTTTACATCACATAACACAAACACTTTGATTTTTAATTAAAATTCAATTCTGAAATAGAAATTTTGCAAAATTTTATTGTGGATGTGCCAGCACAGTTTCAACCTCATACAAACTTTGAAGTAGCATCTGCTTGCTCATTTTTGCAGCTCTATTACATATAAAATATGACAGAAAGTTAGTTCATAGTTTTTTCTCTGCTTTCTGATCCTGTCTCTGTGTAATTTTTGCCACCAAATTTCAGACACAGATGTGTTTTCTGCAACCATTAGTATGAACCAAAGAATACTTTATCAAAGGTTTTGTACAAATGAACCAATAAAGGGAGGCATGATTATAGATAAAAGGCAATTTTTTAGGAATCAATTGTCTAACAGTTCATACTAACTTTTATATGTATTCCTTAAACATAATATTTGTTGTGAAATGAGCGCTAATTTAATAGAAATGGAACCTATGCAAATGCAGAGCTGACAAGGAGCACAAATGGCTCTTTGAGGATTTCTCCCAGCAGAAGTTCAGGTGGGTCTTCCTGTCAGAAAGGTTCCACTCACTCTGCTGGGAGGCAGGTGGCAACAAGGACTTAGCTGATGGGAACTTGCACAGTAGGAACTCTTAAGCCTAAACAGCTTCAAAAACAGAAAGAGCAAAGGGACTGATGAAAATCAGTGCCTCAATCCCCTCTCTAAAAGGGAAAGTACAAAGGTGTGAAATTCTAATTCAGGTAGTGAGATGAACAGTTTGGAAGTCAACTTTGCTTAATTTTAAAACAGGTAGGGTTTTTTTTCACATATGACACGTCAACAACAGTATGGCACAAAAACTCAGAGCTAAAAATTGCCTGAAAACCTGAATTTGTCCTCAAAACACTTCACAGCTTTGCATTGGAATTTTCCAACTAATTCTAACTTAAATCTAACCTATTTCAAATTAATGTGTTAATTAAAATTACCATTTCTTGAGATTTTTCTGTCCCTTCCCCAATTACATTTCTGTAATTCTGAAAAGTTTTTCCACTAGTGATGATATGATAAGGAGAAGGCAAAACTGTTATGAAAATCCTTCCATCTACTTCTTTCTTCTTTCATTTAAATCAAGAACTATAAACAAATATATAAAATACCTTTTTGTTTAAGCAGGAAAATTAATTTCTATTTCCCAGCTGAGAAACTGAAAACTATCACTGGTCTAGACAGTCCCTTACACAGAATTTTTATTTTAGTTATGCCACATTTTCAACTGAGAATATTTTGGTATAGGTATGACTGCCTGTGAATATGACTTTATTTCTTTTGCTCTTGGTGCAAGCCAACACTCTCTGTGTTTCCAGAGAGTGTGGTGAACACAAGCACAGACCTACTCTATCTTACCTCATCTCCTCCAGACTGTGGTCTCCTGAACACTTTCAACTGTTCTACATCATAATGCTTAAGCAAAAAAGAACTGAGTCACTCTGGGCATTTGTTTGCCGATGACAGCTTGTGCCCTACAATGCAATTTCCAGTACTTTATCCAATCTGCATTAAAAGTGTCTCAAAGGATAAAGAAAATAGGGATAGTTTTACAGCCACTTGGAGCTCCTAATTAGGAAGTGTTTCCAGTTACTCAGCCAAAATCCAATTATTTTTTTTATGCCCCAGGTTCCAGTGCACTGTTTTTCAGAACAGGTATAGGCAAGTCCTCTCTCTTTGCCAAAACGCAGGTTGAGGTTGCTGGTGGTAAAGGACCGGTTTGCCCTCTAAAGAAATTTAAATGTCAAAATCTGTGTTAGGGTCACACTGTAAACTATTCTCAGGTTTAAGGCCAGGGACCAGATAGTGATAATAACTGCTATTTATCACATATTTCTGTTCTGTTTTCAGCCTCATTTCACCCAGTGGCATTAACTGTTACAGCAAATAAAGGAGAACATGTGAATATTTCCTTCATCAGAATGGCAGCAAAAGAGGAAGATGCAGTGATCTACAAGAATGGTAATCAATCTTTCTTGTCTCTTCCCACAGTCATTATCTTAGCCGAGTGCCAAGTAACTGTTTTAAAGTTATTGCTGATGATGCCCATGCTATGCAACTGCAGCAGATGTATTTCCTCAGCCATTTAATGCTTCCTAAAGGAGCAATTTTCCATATCCAATATATCGCTCTGACCAGTTTCTCCTCCACCAAAATGCCAAATCCTCTTTTAATACCTTTGTTGCTTGTTTTTCTTTTTGTTTTCTTCCTACATCTCTTCATATATTTGCCTGGTTGATTTTAGTTATTTTTCATTTTCTTTTCTGTGCCCCTATAAAGGCCCAGGTAACTGTGTTTTTCTTTGCATTTCTACTGCTTTTTGATCCACAACTTTCATTCTTCAAATGGCCTTTGGAGGCCATTTAGCTTCTATGATCTCTTCAGGCTAAGAAATTAAGCACTAGTAATCTGCTATTAGGAGGGAAAAGCTGTCAACAAAATCTAATGCTTATTTCATTCAACTACGAGAATTAGGGTGTAAATTTTACGACTCAAATTTGTCTATCTAACATGGCACCTAAATCACACGTGACTCACTGTTCAGCTGTGTGTTGCTCCTGCTTGACACTTGGAAATACGTGCAGTTTTCTATCTACCTCCTATAGAAATGTAGGAAAATATAGGCCACTAAAACTCACAGTGCCTTCATAATTAGAATGTTAGACTCCAACAAATTATAGTTGTGTATATCTTTATCTACTGATAGTCTAGTTTACAGTGAGCCACCAGGAAACGGAGTAAACAGAGCAGGATGAGGTAGGAAGTGTCAACACACTGCAAAAGATGCATGCATGGGTCAGCTTCAACTCCGGTTACTGATTACCTAGAGAACTTTACTACAGTCTGGAAGAGAAAAATAAATAAAAGATGTCTTTTAAAAAAGCAGTATAAACGGAGAGTTTCATGAATACCAATATACACAGTAGAGTTTTGTGAATACCTGTTTCTTCACTCTTCAGAGATTTGCTATGTGAGGGCACAGTGGAGAAGGTTTGCCAACACTTGCCCTTTCAGGGTCCCCAGGGAAATTTTGTGATCTCCTGTCAGCATTTTCTCACACAAGAACCAGATAAGATGGCGTAGTAAGAACTCTTATATAATGGTGCTCCCTTAACTGGGATTTCAACTGAACATTTGACAAAAAATTCTCAAATTGACTCTAGACAGTAGGTCAAATTTTTCACCTGAGGTTGCTGTTGAAAAAAACATCCCTGATAATTACTGATACATCCCTGATAATTACTGTGTCCAGTTCTGGGACCCCCAATACAAGATGGAGCTGGACCTGTAGGAGCGCGTTCAGAGGAGGGCCACAAAAACAATTAAAGGGATGGATCACCACTCTTGTGAGGACAGGATGAGAAAGTTGGAATTATGCAGCTGGAGAAGTCCCTGGGGAGACTGTATGGTGGCTTTCCAGTACCTGAAGGGGGCTGCAGAAAAGCTGGAGAAGGACTTTTTACAAGGACTTGGAGTTACAGGACAAGGGGGGGTTGCTTTAAACTGAATTAGATTTAGATCTGATACTAAAAAGAAATTCTAGGATGTGAGTGTAGTAAGTCACTGAAATATGTTGCCCATAGAAATGTTGGTTGCCTCATTCCTGGAAGTGTTTTGGGCCAAGTTGGATGGGGCTTTGAGCAACCCAGTCTACTGGAAGGTATCCCAGCTCTGGCAGGGGAGTTGGAATCAGATAATCTTTAAGATATCTTCTAACCCAAACCATTTTAGTCAGTCCCATACGGACAGGCAATACCCATCAAGTCACAGTTCTGCTGTGTGGGTTTGTTTGTGGATGACTTTGTTGGTATGATGTGTATGAGCGATGTGCATGTATATTTTAGAGGGAGAGCTGGCTGAACCTGGCATAAGATGTCTGCAGTAGCCTTACTCTAACAGACTGGAGTGGAAGGACTCCCAGGGGTCCTGAAGTTCACTGGATGCAGCTTCTGTTTGGCAGCAACCAATGTTCGAATGTTGTTAATTGGTGATCCAGAGGGATGGGAGAAGACCAAATGCTACTGCCTTACTTAGCAAATATGTATAACCAACTACAGCAAACCTAGAATAACGTAGATAAGCTCCTTGGTGAAACAAAATATAGAAGAAACAGAAATATGTTAAGCCTTGGAAGGAAAGATAGAGCTGTGCTGAGTTTTCTTCAGATTTGGTCTGCTTCATCTTTTTGTGCTACTCAGGTTAAACTGGACCTGGCTTCCATTTGCTGTTCAATTCCGGCCATGCTAGACTCCTACAGATTGTTACCCCTCACTTCAGAAGTGATCAAGAAACAAAATGAACATGTTTAACCGCTAGACACTTTGCAATGCTGAACATGAAATTGTTTGTCCCATTCATCCACTAAACCTCCTCAAAATCTTCATTCCTTTTAACTTGCACCTCTTCAATTATGAATAACTAGTATAGCTAAAGAGCTGACAGCAAATTAATAATAAGCAGATTCTGTTCCTTAGCTCATCCCAGGTGGCTTTCTTCAGTAAGCAATGCAGACTTGCTTCTGTATGTAGAGGGTGAATGACTTTTGTCTGTGCTATCTGTGTGCTCCTTCCCCAGGTTCCTTCATCCACTCTGTGCCCAGGCATGAAGTGCCAGGGGAGCTGGAAGTCTCGTATGCTCAAGTTCAACCACAGGATGCAGGGGTTTACTCTGCCAGATATATAGGAGGAAATCTCTTTACTTCTGCTTACACAAGGCTTATTGTAAGACGTAAGTTCCGTTAGTGTGTGCTCATGATTAATTTTTTAAAGTCATAATGAATTTGAAATGAAACATACTGTGCCCAAATAAGGAACAAAATCTTTCTTGGCATACGCTGCCATCAGATTATGTCAGAAGAATTTTTTTTCCCCAAGGAACTTTGGTACAAGCTGATATTCGTTTAAACAGCTGAGAGAGAGAAAAAAAATCAGATTTACATTCAACCCATTCAACCTATTTCCAGGTCAGCTAGTTCTTTTCTCAGCATCTCAGCTTTTCAAACAACAAGTAAGTATGAATGAAGGAGGTCACTCTTCACTGGGTTTCCCTGTTCTTTGTGGTGGGCTATATCCAAGCCTTATCTATCCTAAGATTTATCATCTTTAGTATACATTATTGCAACTTCACAAATAACCCCAGACTTAGCAAACTCTTAAGGTTCGCTTCCTAGTAGATGATATTTGTTTGAATATTTTGTTTGGATATTTTTCTAAGTGTTCTACACGTCTCATAGCTCATACTGCGGTGTCCATGTTCATCAGATATAAAGAACATTATTAACTTCAATTGAAATATAAAACTGATACGAAAAAATAAATAGATGTTCAAATATCTCACATTGTGGAGAAAATGTTTTTGATAGTAATGCATATTTCACTTATGAACATCCACAGGATACTTCCAGGAGTTGTGAAGGAATAAATGCGATGCCTCAAATTTGGATTTTGAAGCTACTGCCACCATAATAACTAAAGTGGTCCAAATGGCTGGAGTGTGGGGGGGGTCCCTGTAAATCGTATTTTTATTGTTTGCCTTAATCAAAAAGAATTTTACCACTTCATTGGATACTGAATAAGAAGACAACAAATATTTCATTATATTTTTCTATAAAAGGGTGTGAAGCTCAGAAATGGGGCCCTTCCTGTAGCTCCCACTGCCCTTCCTGCACGAACAATGGTATTTGTCATGAAGATACTGGGGAATGCATCTGTCCTCCAGGTTTTATGGGGAAAACATGTGAGAAAGGTAAGCACATAATATTTTCAGAGATTGCTTATTAATTTGTTTTCAGTACAAGAAGTTGGCATATTATTGAGGGAAGCATCACCAGGAGTAGCCTTGTTTTTACTCTTTGAAGTTATAGCCTTTACAGCTGGTGCTGGAGACAGGACAGTGCTGGATGAGATGAGCCCTGAATTAGTAAGGCTGTTCTTGTACTTGTGATTTAGTTTCTCCCTCTCTTCTCCTAGTAGAGATTATGTGACTAGGAAAGATGAATGTTTCCAACTCTTCTTGATCAATATGCACTTGGGCAATATGCTAGATAACATCCTCTAGGCTCCTTTTCTCACAAAAGGCTGGAGTAGATGGTCTTTCGAGGTGACTTCCAAACTTGGCTGTCCTGTGATTCCCTCAAAGTCAGTATGGTCTATGCTACTGACTGACTGTTGAATGCATGTTAGAATAGGAGATCCTAAGGATATATTGGTACTAGGAAATGAACCCCTGTGTAAGAGATTCTCTGGCTGCTTCTAAAGAGGCTGCTATATGCTCACAGGCTGCTTTGTCTCTAGGGGCATATTGATAGTATATGGCTGTTTGTGCAAATCTGTGTCTGTGACAATTAGTTTATATTCTGGAAGAATCAGAGCAGGCATCACATTGCTTTGATATCTCCAAGCAACTTTTGTGTTCATTGATAAATATGTATACTTATATTTTTATTGAATTGCAATGCTGCAAATACTAGAACTAAGCTATCAGAATAGTTGACATCTGAGCCCTTCTAATGTAGCATTTATAATAAAAACAAAACTTTGAGCTCATCAGTTTCATATATACTGACCTCTAAGAAGAATATTTGGTTTTCATGGCACCGTTTGTCTATTTTGTATTGAAAAGGCTTATAAAGAGAATAGATTTCTGAAGATCTGTCCCCCTGTATCCAAAGCAAAGAGTGCTTGGCTGACAGGTCTTCATATGAGAGATAATTATGTTTGTTTCTGCTGCTGTATTTAACCAATAGAACAGCTGTGGCTGAAGTTGCTATGGTTGTTAATATATTTGGTATCTGAATGGTTAAAATGCTATTTTTAATTTAAATGCATGTTTTCACTTGTCTAAAGCTATATCATTAGAAGCACTTCTTTTGTGGACAATGCTGTTGTGTTATTCTTTTCCTTCAACAGCTTGTGGAGCCAATACATTTGGCAAAACTTGTGAAGAGAGCTGTAAAGAAAATTACGGTTGCAGAAACTATATGTTCTGTCTACCAGATCCATATGGTTGTTCTTGTGCCACAGGATGGATGGGACTGGAATGTGATAAAGGTATAGTAAAACAAAAAAAGAATGGTGGAGTCCTTAAGTGTTCTGCACATAGGAAATACAGAAGGGAACTAACAGAGGGGAGTAAAAGATAGGATTTTTTACAGGCATGTAAAAATTTTTTAAAATCATGAGATTGAAAACTAATGGAAGACATTTTCTAGTACCTTTGCACTAACTGGAACATATGTACTTGCAGAATGCAAACCTGGTTTTTATGGGTCAGATTGCAAACTCAAATGTAATTGTCACAATCGAGGGACATGCGACAGATTTAAGGGCTGCATCTGCTCCTTTGGATGGCATGGTCTGCAGTGTGAAAAAGAAGGTAAAGCAAGGTAACATGGTAGTAAATGGCTTTTCCCAGTGTAACTGAAACAGGTCTTAATGCTGGTACAGCATTAACACTCCAGGCTTTTATCCTTGCTCTGCCTTTTGCATTCCAGGAGCCCAGACACTTCTACACAACTTCATAGCAATACAGTGTTTTTAAGCCTCTGACCTAGCATTTATCAGGCTTATATCCTAACATTTCATCTGATTTTGCTTTCATTAGAGGTAGATTTTCAAAATTCACTCAATAGGATATGACATTGACCTTAATGTCAGTCACTGACAGAAACTGTACATCCAGCTTTTGGACAGTCTCATGGTATTTTACCTTTACCTTTTATTTGTCTGCATACATTCCTATACCAAGTGCTTCATGGTCTGAAATTGATGACTGAGACACCAGGATAACCCCAGAGTTTAGAACAGCTCTGTCTCTCTGAGAGAAAGTTGAGCTTACAAAGCTGCACATTCTTGATCTCTATGGTTTCAGACAATGTTTGCACACAGTGTTCTGTAAGATGCACGCAGGATCTATTATTTCTGCTGGATAAATTATGTGACAAATCACTGCTAATTTGTAAATAATTTCAATAATAAAAACAAATAGAGAAATAAGACTCTGATCCAACCAGCCAAAGTATACTGTTAAGATCTGACTGCTCTTATAAACAGCCAAAATGGAGAGAAAACAGACAAAATTCAGTACCAAATGTGTGCATGATTTTGCCATGGCTAGACTGTGCTTAGAATGTCAGCAATAAAGAGGGAAGAGAGGTGGGAAAAAGAAAGAAGAGTGAACACAGGACGTATTCCTTCTCACATGATATTTACACTAATGTAAAAATTCTGACTTTGGTAAGGGTGATTCTTGCATATGCCCACATAAGTGAAGGCAGAAGCAGACACCCATGCTGCCTGTGCTCATTGTACATACACCTAAACCTGTTTTGCTACTGTCTATTT